TTATCAAAATAATAATCTAATTATATAACTATAATCTAAAATCGATTTTTAAACATTAAAATGCATAAATGTATGCCAACCTTCTGATTGATTAACACCCTAATTTTTTCTAAATCATCAGGTAGCTCCTGATGATTTTTCCTATCAGTAGACCACCAATTCATGGAAAAAAAATTATACATTGTATAAAATGATTAATATACGAAATTAGTTTTATAATTACCTCAAGTGGAAATACGAATGAGTTCTTGACAACGGGACATAAAAAGGGAAATTGATACTACGCCCAAGACTGCAGCATCATGAGACATCTGCCGATAGTATTTTTTTATGTAGTCAATCGCGCGACACATCTCCCTATAGAGGAAAGCCAAAACTGTCGAGCCCCAACTGAGTGATCCAGCCTGATGAAAGTCACCAAGCTGTCGCAACCACATACAGTAAACTTGGTTGCGCGATTTGTCCAGCATCACCAACCCTCCTATCAGCTGCAGTATGCATGCCCGTGCTTACATTTTAACTTCATCATCAGAGGCAAGTATCACTAACTTAAGGTTCATAATAAAAGGATTTAATATACGGTCTCTCTCCTAAAATATAAATAATTCCAAAAATTAATTTTAAAACTAATAATCATGCATTAAATAAATAAATAAATAATTATTAATAATTTAAATTAAATTAAAACGTTAAAAAGTTACCGTATCAGCAAAAAGTCGAGATATATGATTTCCATCTAAGCGAAGCAGACCGTATTCCATTTTATATATGCAAAATAATTAATTAAAATACAATATTAAATAATTTAAATACTTAAATAAATTAAATACAAAATATTAAATATAATAAAATATACCATAAACATATAATATAATATTTGAGAGAGGTTGAGAGAAGTTGAGAGGATTTGGTATGATAAAAGTGATTGAGGATGGGGGTATTTATAGGGAGGGGGTGTGAACGCTCGGGGTAGATATGTAATTAAACCTAAGGTGCGCTACACGTGTCAGATTTGCAGATAAGGCGCGACCCCTGCCCCGCGCCTTACACACGTGTATCCCAGTCAATATAAGGTGCGCTTCAGGGGCGTGCCTTACTGCAAAGGGTGTTAGATCGGGAAAAATAGTCTGAAGGATGCCTGACAAAGAAAAATAAATGGAAAAGGTGATATATTGGGAAAAACGCCTCAAATTCATCAATCATATTTTAAAATAGTTATCATTTATCTTATTCAAATATATATTTTAAAATTATATACATAGTCAATATCAAGGCGATTTTCCCGATATATCACCGTTGAACAATATATTTTCCGATCAAGCACCGTTCAGACTATATTTTCCGATCTAACACCCTTTGCAAAAAGGCACGGCCCCTGCAATGCGCTTTACGCTGATTTGGTGCCACGTGAGGTAAGGCGCGCCTTATGTTATCATGGTATACACGTGTGTACAGGGGGTATAGCGCGGTGCTGGGGCCGCACCTTACCCCATAATCTGCCACGCGTCAGTAAGGCGCGCCCCCTGCAGCGAGCCTTGGGTATAATTACCCACCCACCCCGACGTTTTACACCCCAATCCCTCCCTATAAATACCCTCATCCTCAATCACTTTCATCGCACCAAATTCTCTCAACTTCTTTCAAATACTCTTATAATCTCTATCTGACATATATTTTATTATATTTTTAATATTTTGTATTTAATTTATTTAAGTATTTAATTTATTTAATATTTTATTTAATTATTTTTTTGCAGATATAAAATGGAAGACGACCTACTTCGCTTGGATGGAAATTATATATCTCGACACTTTGTTGATATGGTAACATTTTAACATTTTAATTTAATTTAAATTATTAGTAATTATTTGTTGATTTATTTAATGCATGATTATTAGATTAAGAATTAATTTTTGTAATTATTTAATTTAGGAGAAGTACCATGTATTAGATCCATTTATTAGAAATCTTAAGTTAGTACTACCTAGCCGTGTCTTGGCATATTTAGTAAAGGCTGGATTCAGTTACATAGGTAGATATCAGGGTCACTGTAAGATAGAACCAAACTTTATTTCTACCTTAGTAGAGCGGTGGAGTCCGGAGACTCATACATTCCATCTTCCGTGCGGAGAGTGCTCGATTACACTTGAGGATGTTGCTATGCACCTGGGGCTTCCGGTGGATGGAGATGTGATATCGGGGATCGCGCAGGGTTCATGGACTGCTTTGTGTCGGGATAATCTAGGACGTGTCCCGGAAAGTTTTAACAGTGGTCAGATACTGTGAAATTGGTTAGATGCCAATTTTCGGGAGTTGAGCGAGGACGCTTCAGATGATGAAGTTAAAATGTATGCACGAGCATGCATACTGCAGCTGATAGGAGGGTTGTTGATGTCGGACAAATTGCGCAACCAAGTTCACTGTATGCGGTTGCGACATCTTATCGACTTTTGTCTGGCCGGATCACTCAATTGGGGCTCGATAGTTTTGACTTTATTATACAGGGAGATGCGTCGAGCCACTGACTACAGGAGAAATGCTATCGGCGGATGTCTCCTTCTGCTGCAGTCTTAGGCATGGTATCGATTGCCCTTTTTATGTCCCGTTGTGAAGAACACATTCGTATTTCCGCTACTCTTGAGGTAATTATAAAACTGATTTCGTATATTAATCATTTTATATAGCGTATACTAATTTTTTTTTGAATAGGTGGTCTATTGATAGGAAAAATCATCAGTAGCTACCTGATGATTTAGAAAAAATTAGGGTGCTCATCGATCAGAATGCTAACACACACGTATGAATTTAAATGTTTAAAAATCGATTTTAGATTATAGTTATATAATTAGATTATAATTTTGATAAAAATTATATATATTTATTTTAGTTTGAATGGGTGTCATATTCTAATGATGATGTGAGGACGGTGATCCCACCTGAGTTGAGGGGCCCATCAGATATTTGGATGGCGATGGTCCCTTCGATATGTTATGCGACCGTCGAGTGGCACTCCACTGATCGTGTGCTCCGACAATTTGGTTGTTTTAAACCAATTACAGATATTGTAATTTTTTTATAGCCATCAACGCTTCTTCTTTACTTGATAACTCCATGCCTAAATATAACTCACCATTATTTATTGATGAGTAATATCCACAGTCACCGAGATGAGGCATATCCGCAAATTTTGGCCCATATATTGCACCATAATCAACTTCATACATGTGTGTTGGATTTTCATTTTGTGCCACATTTGCTGGAACTTCATCCAGATCATCATCATCATCGGAGTTGAATTGCGGTGATTCTGTGTGAATGAATAGTCCAGTCTCAGCACCATCCGCACCAAGCTCACGAAGCGGTTCTTCTTATGGAGATGATGGTTCCTCCATGCTCTCCACTCTTAGGTCGAGGAACCTACTACTTGCACGTCTTCCCCTTGAACTGGAAGACATATCGACATTCAGATCGAAAAAGCTCGCAGTCGAATGCCTCTCCTTGGAGCTTGAAGTCATCTTGTCAAATGGAAACTGCATAGATTGTTGCGTCGATGGCATCTCCATATTAAGGTCAAAGGGATTTACAGATGAATGCCTTCCCCTTGAATTGAACGCGATATTGCCATACAAATTATTCGTCGACCCACCTCGGTACATATCGTAAGGAGATGCGGATGAAAGTCTCCCCATTATGACATTAAAATCATTACACATTACTGTTGTCGGGCTGTCAACTTGATCAACTTGTTCAGCCAGACCCCGAACAACACGCACTTAAATAAAATTTGCATACATCTCAATATCGGCGACTGAATAATTACTTTGAGCTTCAACCATCATTTCAACATCATCATTGTTCAAAAGTTAGAACGATGTATAAGTTAATGACAACAATGATGTTGGAAATCTGTACTGCAACAACGGCATTCTTCTACTATTTCTAACATTAATCTTCCTCGAAATCTTCGTTATCAGCTCCTCAAGAGTTATGTTTCTCTTCAATGATATTTTAGCACGTTTATTTGATATGAAACCAATGTCGGTTTCATCTTCTCGAATTTCTCCATCATAATAAACAATAGTTGAAAGTCGAGTCATTCTTTGAGTTTAAAAATACGACAATATTATATCTGTAAAAAAAACAACTGAAACAATGTTAATTAAATAAATAATATATGAACGAAATTATAACACAATAAATTTTTACACATAAACGTAAATAATTTAAATAATATAATTTTATATTATTACATGTACCGCAAAACTATTTCGCCGTATATTTCCGCTTTCTAATTTTACAAACAGATAAATTAATTGAAAACAATTAGTATAATATTTTTTTTCAAATAATCATAATAAACAATAAGTATAATAAAAAATTTATCACAAAATTACCTTATAACGAAAACTCGCACGAACTTCTGAATTAAATATGAGAAGATTGTTGGATTGTTGTATTAATTTTTTTCTAATCGAGAGGAGATGTGAGGAGTTATCCCGGGGAAAGGGTATTTATATCCGGGAAAAGCTACAAGACGCGGTACATGCACCGCATCTTACATAATTATATCAGATAATGCTAAGGCGCAACCTCGTTCCGCGCCTAATAATTGTGTTAAAAGTAAGTCGCGACCCCTGCTCTGTGCTATATTCTTAAGTGGCCTAATGCGCGCCCTCGGGGGTGCGTTTTACACATGTGTATACCATGTCAGGAGGCGCGTCTTACCACCCGTGACACCAAATCAACGTAAAATGTGTTACAGGGGCCGTGTCTTTTTTCAAAAAGTGTTATATCTAGAAATATAGTCTAAACGATATCTGATCGAAAAATATACCGTTTAACATCGATATATCAAAAAAATCGCTCAATTTCAAACACAAATTATAAAATCTCTAGTAATACTTTAAATCATAGATGCTACTATGCTAGTGATAAGAAAAAACAAAATATGTATTTGTTTAAATTTTAACATCAGGGAAACTGGAAACCGGAGAATACGGTGTCCGGAAAAGAGAAAATGTTTATATATTCCGCTGCAGCTTGATAAAAATGTAGTCTCATAGTCTGTACTCTGTAATGTTTCTTTCATACGTTCCATCGCATTCTCTCTCTATTCTTTCTTGTGGATGCAGTTAGTCGGCGATAATCTATTTCTGTTATAAACTGATTGCCGAGTAATTCAATAATGGCAGCATCATTTTGAACTTCCTTTGCTTCCTTACGCTGCCGTTTTCCCTTCTTCCATCTCCTCCTTTTCCTCGGTCAATCGGAAGCGAACCCAAGTTTTTTGTTTATATATATATATTTTAATATTCAAAACTCCTTTTTTTTCTGGGAGCTCGGAGTTAGATTTGTGATCGAATCGGTTACTGCCGTAAGTTCTGATTATTTTCAAAGCCAAAATAGAAAGAAAAAGAAACGGTGACTGATTATTTGTTTTTGAAGATCAAAGCTAATTTTTTTTAATTTTATTATAGAATTTTGCGACTAAAAGCTCAATTCGACAAGAAGTTGAGACGAAATGCTAGATCTCAATGTCGCGTCGACTGAGTCGACTCAAGAATCCTACTCTGTGCTTTTCTTTACTGATAAGCTCAATGAATGTCCTGGAAACCAAATGGACGAATCCGATACCTCGAATTCGTCCATCGTAAACGATGATAATGAGTCTTGTTCCACACGCTGCAAGGGAGACGCGTTCACTCTAAGCTTCGACATACTCAAAGTCGGGAGTGGAGGAAGCGAGTACGAAAACGACGGCGCACCGCTGGTGGTTACTAAGGAGCTATTTCCGGTGAAGGGAGATGGAGCTGGTTTCCGAAGTCTCGAAGGGCAAAGTTCGGGAAACGGTAGTAACTACAAAAATTGGGCCGATCTGTCGTTCGAGGGAAAAGAAGTTGGTCACCCGCAGGTGATACAACAACAGCAACAACAACCGTCACAGACGACGGTGAAGAAAAGCCGTAGAGGACCTCGCTCTCGTAGTTCACAGTATCGAGGAGTTACTTTCTACAGAAGAACTGGAAGATGGGAATCTCATATCTGGTAATTTTTTCGTTCCTTTTGAACTATTTTTAAAAGAATTTTCTGATTGGCTACTAACTGTAACTGAATTTTGACCTCTGGTTTGTTAAGTAGGTTTAATTAAATTTTCTTTTGAAAATTTGCTCAGTTTTATTTATTTATTTTCAGGGATTGCGGGAAACAAGTATATTTGGGTATGATGGATATAATGAGTTAATTTTGCTTTGTTTTTGTTGATAACTTTGTTATTAAGGTGTTTTTCTTCTTCATTTCGCAATGTTTTGATCAAATTTTCCCTTTTTCGGTTTGATTTTGATTTTTCTAGGTGGATTTGACACTGCTCATGCTGCAGCTAGGTAAATTACTTGAAAATAATCTGTTAATTTAGTTTATGAACTTAGGCTTATCCTATTTTTTTTTTCAAAAATCTGGGTATGTTTGATTCAGAGCCTATGATCGGGCGGCTATTAAATTCCGAGGGGTTGATGCTGATATAAATTTCAACCTTGGTGATTATGAAGACGATTTGAAACAGGTTGGAATTTGATTACTTCTCTAGAAAATATTGATTAATGAAACTCACTATAAAAGCTAAATGGTTTGAACTGTGAATGATAGTTAAGTTGTGGCCTTCTTTCTTTTGTTGATGGACAGACGAAGAATTTGACAAAGGAAGAATTTGTGCACATACTTAGGCGGCAGAGTACTGGCTTTTCGAGGGGGAGCTCAAAATATCGAGGAGTGACTCTGCACAAATGTGGCCGGTGGGAAGCTCGGATGGGGCAATTCCTTGGCAAAAAGTGAGCACAATTGTTTTTGAAATTTTCAATTTTGTATCAAACATACTATGGTTCAGTACTAAAGTAGGCGGCAATTAATTTAATTTTTTGTGGAATTAATTCTCGGGTTGTTTTTTTGGTTCTCTATAAATGGAAAAGCAATTCTAAGATGACTAAATTGGAGGAAAAACAATCGGGATAGTGATTTATAGTGGGGATTACGATGCTTGCTTGCAGGTATATTTATCTTGGGCTATTCAACAGTGAAGTAGAAGCTGCAAGGTCCTAATGATCATGAATTACACTCTACCTTGTACTCGATTTATTATCCTCAATTGGGTTCCATCCAACATATGTCTACGTTTTGATGTTTTCTGGAAATCAGGGCCTATGACATGGCAGCTATCAAATGTAATGGAAGGGAAGCAGTCACCAACTTTGAGCCGAGTTCATATGAAGGGGATATGATCTTTGATACCAGTAAGGAAGGTATCATTTTTTTGCTGCTTGCGTCTAATTCTGTGACTACAAAGTTTCAAATAATCTTAATCAAAGGTTGTTTGCTTGATAAGATTCTTTTTTTGGCTGGTGCTCTTTTAACTTGTGTTTAAATTCTGTTTTTACTCAGGCAATACTCACAACCTTGATTTGAACCTGGGGATATCTCCACCTGTTGGGAACGAGTCCATAGAAAATGAGGGGCATTCCAATTTTTGTTCTGGCTCTATTGACATAAATGGCAGGAAGAGTTTGAGGGTAACTTCTTAATTGAACTAATCAAATTTTCTTGTATGTTTTGGTTTTACCACATTGAGAGGATTGTTGTTCAACCTACTAGTAAATAACGATGTCTGTTGCAAGCATTGGGTCGGAATGATTTTTGCTAGTTCTAGTAAACATACACTGCTTGTTTTTGGACGACAGTCGAGTACCTTGACCTCACCCTGTTGTAGATTGATGGTGTATTGATCACTATTATTCTCATTGATTTACTTTTGCAGGCGGCAAACGCTACTGTGGCAACAGTGGGTCCAGCTCACAAAGGGCTAGCGGGGACTTCAGATAAGCCATTTTTTTGGAATAATGTATTTCCTTCATACATTCCTAGTGAGGTAAAAACTTTATTGCACTACTTCTGTGGCTTTAAACCTTTGTTCAGTCCATCTGGACTTTTGCTTGAAAACAGAAAATCTCCTCATCCCAATCAATTTTTAATACTTCCTAAACCAACCCTGTATTGTTCAATTTCGTGTATCCTGCCTAAATTTGGTCTTGTTGTTAACTTAATGCTTTTTTTCAAACCATGGTATCTATTCGAAGGGTTTTTAGTCATTGATTGGAATTTATTATTAAGTATTTAGACTGTACATGTTCTTTGTTTTTGGTGAGTGAGATGTTAGTCAATGCAAAGTCAAGTCGGTGCTACGCCAATGCCACTGTTCTCGACTGCAGCATCATCAGGATTCTCATACTTGTCTACCTCTCCTCCTGCTGCCATTCTTCCTTTAGAACCTCTCAACCAAATGACCCGCAATCTCTGTTTCACCTCGGAGACTGCCACCAACACCCTGCAAATCCATTTTCCGATGAAGCCACCACAGAGACCGCCATAACCCTCATCTCTCAACAATTGCAGCATAAACGTGCATAGATGACAGGATTCAAGTGCTGATTCATTACGCCTTCAGACTCGATGGTTTCTAACATGTTCTGATGAAGTAAACAAGCATACTCTGTTGGATATAAATATCAAGAAACTGCTAATTGGATTCGTATTTGTGTAGCATTAAGGTCTAATGAACCTTGTTTAGTGATTTTGTCAGATTCTCCCTTATTTAGAAACTGCAATTCCATTTTGAATCCTGATTCTTTAGGTGAAGAAGCTTAAACAGAAAAGCCTCTCTTTTAGGTTTTATAAATTTTGCTTCCTGCATAACATGCAACAAACTGTTCTATTTTCTATCCTCTTTTTAGGAAAATGGGATTTAAAATTTAATTTTTATTTAAAAAAAACAACAAAATTGATTTTGGTTAAAAATTAAGCAAGTTACATTTACATGATACAATCGTAATTACAAACGCTATATAATCAAATAAAATAAAATTACATTTTATTTTTTATAAAATATAATCGAAATAATAATTTAAATATACCTTGAAAAAATCTATTTATATAATATGAATTAATCTGTAAATAATTAACTTACAGTGGGGTAAAATCAGGACAAATTGTTGATTTAAAATGATTAAGGGGAAGATCTCTTGAGGATTAGTGGACCCACCCACCCAAATAAGAACGTGTTGGTGATATTCCTCGTAACATTAGCAAACTTGTGCTAAAGGCAAAAGAAAAAGTACAAAAGCCACCACCCTATTGTTGGAAAGGTTGATGCCTTTAGGCCATTCTTTGATCGAATCAAGTAAAAAAAAATTAAGCTATACGAATTAATGAGTTATATTTTACAATTCAGACTTGATTTAAAAAAAATTCGAGTCGAATCGATTTTTTAAATTTCTGTTTAAATTTAATTGTAAATATTATAATATTATTTTATTTTAATTTAAATAAATTTCTATAACCATATATACAATATAAATATATATTTTTTTCATATGTGATATACATATATCATACAAAATCCAAAAACTTGTGAGTTTTTTTAATCAAGTCTGAATTTTACTCGCCCATATTTACGTGTGCTTTCTCATTTGTCTCTTAAAGTTGGATTAAAGGTGTTATTAGAACATTTCTTTTAAATTTAGTTCGGGGAGAATTTTAAATTAATATATATTGTGTTGTGTAAAAGTATTACATTAAATATAAAAAACTGTAATCGATTAGAGAGGAATTTGGGAAAAAGACTAGACCACACACCTATACACAAATTCATCAAGTAAATACTATAATTATATAAATATAGAAGTCTATATAATTATTATAATTAATTTTTTGAATTAAATATAATTAAAGCATATAATAAATCTTATTAAATTATTTACATCTCTATTTTGTCAATTAAATATGCAATAAATTAAATTTTATATTAATTATAAAGGATCAACTAATACCTTTTTATAATAGAAGAATGTTGTAACTTTGTTTTTTTATCCTTCAATAATTATGTCTTTAATACATGTGTTTTTTTGTCTTTTAACATGATTTCAGTTTTTTATTGATCGTTTAACCGTTATTTTCATTTGTTTTTCTCATAGTTAGATTTGACGTAGCGCGACTGATTAAGATAATGCTTATTGTTTATCTCGTTGATCTTTCCTGCATTGACCTTCGGATTAGTTGGATACATGATTTGCATTTGTACATAAAATTTCCACGATGATTGACTCTAATTTACTTTTTATCGATAATTTTTCAGTAGTTTTATACCTTATTATGATTTATTTATTGATGCAGTTATATATACTCACTCACATCTATCTTTTCTTTGGGGTTTTTTTAATGAAATTTTCATATTTTTCCTTATATAATCCTTATATAATCTCAATTTATTAATCTTTTGTTTGGATTGTTTTGAAAAAGTACAATTATATATTTAATTTATAATTATAATTATAATTATAATTTTTATTATAAATTTAATATTTTATATTTTCAATAAAATGAGCTGTTTTTATTATATATAAAAAGTGTGGACCTAGCAAAAACGTTAACATTCAGATGTTTAATTATAAGTTTTATAATTATTGGTGAGATAAAAAGGTGAAGTATGAGACCTGGTTGGATAGCATTATGAAAGAATGGAATGGTTAGAGAAGAGCCACGTATTCATAGTATTTAAAATCATTTCCCAAATACATTACATCAATCATCCTTTATTTGTTATGGTCAAATCTCCCGTCTTTCAATTCCCACTTGCTGCTTTACATTTAAGCGTTTTTATCTAGAAATCACCTAAACAATAAATAATTATTTATCATACATATTGACTAAATTTTATCGATTTAATAATTATTTGTTGGCATTAGGTTAATCTGTACCTTTCCTGATTTTTCGTTCGAGCTAATGCCATGCGGACAAAGCGTAGATGGTGATTCGCGCCATCTATTATTCATCTTGAATTATTGAGTGCTATATTATTACCCAAACTTTAAAGCTTGGTGACTCACCCCTCCCCTATAAATAATCTCGAATGCAAACATTAAACTACACTAAAATTACTTTCACATTATTCCTTTTATCAAGTTAAGTAGATTTTATTACAGTTCTTATAAGATAAAATTATATATTATTATAATATATTTATTTTATATTTAATTATTTGACCGAAATTTTTTGTACCAATGATTTTGTTTTATTTTGTACAAATATAAAAGGGGAGGCGGAATCAAATCTCGATACATTTTTCTGATTAGGTAACAATGTTAAATTATGTTATTAAAATTACTGTATTTTTTAAATGTTTTAGCATTAGTTTATTTTTAAGTTCATATATTATTTATTTAATTAAGCATATTTAATCTATTACTTTTTCATATATAAAACTCTCAATCTTTTAAACGTTCAAACTCTAAAAATGTGGCGTATTTCAAGTATTGTTTACTATGTTGGAAAAATTAGGGAAAATGAAGTAGGCGTTATCTTCTTATCAAATCATTCAATCAAAATATCCTTAAAGAGAAACATCACTCTTAAGGAGTTGATCACTAAAATTTCAAGGAAGGTTCATGCTGAAAATACTAGAAGACTGTCCTCACTTCAGTACATATTTCCAACAGCATTATTTCCGTTAACTTATACAGCGTTCAAAGTCTCCAACGATAACGATGTTTCTATGATGGTTGATTCTTAGAATCAAATTTTAGATGTTGATACACAAATGTATGTGACATTTGTTGAAGTGTTTGTGATTCGTGATATGTCATTATGCTCCCACTATGAGATGGCTCAACAAGCTGATCAAGTTGACAATCCAATTACAGTAATGTGTAATGATTTTAACGCCATATTAGGAAATCCAAATCATGGTATCATCCCATCAAGTTAAATGGGGAGACATTCATCAACAACTTATTACGATGCCTATCAAGGTGGATCCACGAACAATCAGTATGGCAACGTCACTTCCAGTCTAAAACCCGTATGACACGACTCTTCAAGTTCAAGGGGAAAGCATTCAACTACCATCTTGTTCGACCTAAATATTGACATTGCAGAAGAACATTCATCTCCACCAGAATAACCTCTTCGTGAGCCAGGTGTTGGGATTGGACTATTTGTTGAGCCAGAATCATCAAAGTTCAATATGAACTCTGATGATATATATATATATATATATATATATATATATATATATGAAGTTCCCACAACTATGATACACACTGAACCTCCAGCACACATGTATGAAGCTGACTATGATGCAATGTACATGCCAAAATTTATGGATATGCCTAATGTTGGTGACTATGGATTTAACTCATCAGTCAATTATAGTGAGTTATATACCGGAATGGAGTTTTCATTGAAAAAGGAAGCATTGATTGTTATTAAGAATTACAACATTCGTAATTTTGTTCAGTTCAAAGTCGATTGACCCACTACTGAAAAATATATGTATGCTACTATATCCAACGTGATAACGGATGTAACTGGATGGTTCGTGTATCAAAGAGGGAGAGGAAAAATAACCCATGAGAACTAACAATATACAAAGTCCTCATACATATTGTGCTAGAGAGATCAACCAAGATCATCCTTACTTGGACTCTGATATTATCCGCCAAGTCATCATGTCCTTGGTCAAAGCAAGCTCTCATATAGCTATTGTTGTGCTGATTTCAGCTATACACACTCATCATGTGTACACCGTCTCTTACAGGAAAGGATATAAGGCAAAACAGAATGCCATTAAAAAACTACATGTTGAGTGAGATTCATCCTACAACGAACTACCAAGTTGGTTTAAGGTAATACGCACTCTGAATCCTGAGACAATAGTGGACTTTGAAACTTACCATGAATACAACAATGATCGAGTGCTTTGCGATCGATGCCAATTCTATCGGATGTTTTGGACTTACCAACAGTGTATTCATGCTGTGAAATACTTCAAGTCCGTGGTCCATATTG